CTGGTACTTGGACGACAAATAGCAAAGGCGACGATAACAAAATGATTTCCTGCGAATCCACAAAGACGTTCAATTAAAGTAAATACATACATATATGTATATGAGGAATTTATACACCTACAGTGGCCCATCAGCTATCATATTGCACATGACCTGCATGTCATTCACAAACTGATTCATATCTGGATACGAAAAGTCCAGTTCACTCGTGCATTCCTGTGAATCAAATAGATGTTTATATTCACATACATACATATATAGCTGAAGGGGAGTTGTTCCGTGTCGAGCTCACCTTATCATTGTAGATGTGAAAGACTCCATTCACTGGCTTTATGAAGTACGATTCATCTGGCACGAACTCCACGTCCCAGGCATGTCTCGATCTTAGGGGCGACATCAGTGTGTGATGCTCTGCGCGTGTGTTTGTGTGTTTATGCAATAAATATACATATAGAGATATTGAGTATTAAGCACAAATTAACAGTGTTGTCTGTCAAATGTTACAAACTAATTCATTTAATTTGTCAAACTAACGGTATTTTAACTACAAATGCGCTACACACAAATTGTTCTTGTTGTTTACTGTGTGCTTGGTCAATAAGAACACAAAGAATATATATATTTCTGTATCGAAAATTATGTTAAGAAATAGAAAAGTAAAACATTGAAACAGTATACTCTATAGGTGACTTAGTCTGGCCGAGATAAGTGAACTTGGTGGACTTTTGCTTATCTCAAAGTCAATGCCCCATTTTTAGCCAGTTTGTTGTAATTAATGAATTCATACATTTTTGATCTTGTCTACAAAACAAATTTGCAACTTTTTACTAAAGTGTTTTTTAAGTGCTGGTTTCAAACTCGGCTGAGATAAGCGATGCACTCAACGGCAGGCAGACATAACACACAAGAGAGAGGTGTGATATACAGAGAGCAAGATAGAGAGAGAGAGAGAGAGAGAGAGAGAGTGTGTGTGTTAGCAAATGCAATAGTTACATGTGGTAGAAAGAGACGCAACATTTGAGTGCACAAAACAATGACACAAAAAGCAACGGTAAGTCTGCAAATACACTCGGAGAACGTGACAAAGCCTAATTACTACGACACGCGCACTCCAGAGAGAGCGCGCAATTAAAAAACATAAACAGAGCGAGCAAGAGAGCGAGCGATTAGCACAAGGAACGCAAAAACAAGAGAGCGTAAAGCGGTTCAACATTTGTATGTGTGTGTGTGTGTGTGTGTGTAGATATTGGATCAGTCAACAAATGGAAGCAATGGTGTTCGGGAAGTGTGTGTGAAAGAGAGAGAGAGAGAGAGAGAGAGAGAGAGAGAGTGTGTGTATGGGTTTGAGTGTGATACGAGAGAGTGGGGAGAAAAGCGGAAAAGCAACAAAGGAACTTAACAATTCAATCCGAACACGGAAGCAGCCGCGACCGAATTACCTGTATAGTTCGCCATACTCTGTTTGCGAATTATGTCTATAATAAAATGAAATAAAAATAAATATATATATATATGTAGAAATCTTTGTACAAAATCAAGAAAAAAACAAAAGAAAGAATAAAGTACGCGCCGGGAGCATAGAAAATAATTATGTAAATAAATCAAGAAAAGCGAGAGTTAAATAGACCTGAACTGAGAAACTTACTAAACGAAATAGAAGAAGACGAGCGAGCGAGATATACAAAAGAAAGAGATAAATATACATTTAGATATGTATATGAGTATATACACATATAGAGAACTACAGAGAGGGAGAGAGAGAGAGAGAGAGAGCGCGCGAGAGATAGAGAGCAATGTTGATAAAGAGAGCTGGTTGGGGTAGTTAGGTGGCAGGAGAGTTCTAGCTGAAAAGAAGAGTATAAAGAGCTTAATGCGTTCCTAGCGCATGGTCAACTGAACTGTAACGGTAATCTATATGCGTATACACATATATATGTATATACATCAAGCTAACGGTAAAAGAAGAAGATTAAATGAAACTATTCGTTTGTATCATACACGGCATACAGAGCATATGCAGGCATACATATGTACATGTATTTGTTATATATGCATTTCATGGTGCTATACAACACTGGCAGAACTCTCTACTACATATGTATGTATTTTGGGGGGTGTGCCCACACCGATGCTTAGATGCCTCGGCTAGACCAATTGTTGCTGATGCTGATTGATGGGTGGTTCAAATGCGATTTGGACTTACCTGAAACCGACTTAACTGGCACATTCTCATAGCGATCCTTCAGACTCACCGTCTTGAGGAAACGTGCTGTGGTGGTGGGGAACGATTGATCCGACACTTGCATATATTTGGCACGTAGCTTAAGTGCCTCGATAAGTAGCGTCGACGCACGTTCCAGATCCTCTAGTGGCACGCCGCTCGTATCCTCGCCGGACACGGAAACACGCTGAAAATTAATGTCAGCATCTGTTCTACGTTTCGGTACCGCCTGCTCTGTCAGACCATCCGAATCCGAGCTGCTGCGTCGCGGCGATGCTGTAATGGGCGCAGCCGAGCGCTGACAGGTCGATTGCCTAGATGAAACGAGGGAGGGGAATACAAAAAAAAAAAAAAAGGAAAAACCATCAGCCAAAATTTCTATAACGAAACGGCCAACCGAACTGCACCATTGTTCCTCATCGTGCTGATACTCGTATAGGCGACAGAAGCTATAGCTATCATCCGCAAAAGACATGCTGCTCCTGACCAATGCACCTAGCGAATGGCCCACTATCGAGCCGACCTGGCCAACTTCCGAAAGTTGCCAAAGTTAACAGTTGTCCAATGATCGATTGAGCGATTAATTTATAGACCCTGCCCGCCCGACTAGATGTATACACGCAATGGCAACGAGTCCACCCACAACCCACACCTGTATTGTTTGCCAAAAAATAATTATGAATACCCTGACCGGGTCGAGCCGGGTTGGTCCGAGTCCAAGTATGGGTTAAGGGAGTCGGTCTTAAGCGTCTAACGAACATTAATCATTTTGATGTGTCAATCGCGAGGGTCTCTCTACATAATAACCCTATATCTCTTCTTTGAACTGTACGGCAACAGCAGTAAACAGTAAACGGTAAACAGCGAACGGAGCAACGGAACGAACTTCAAGTGCAATTGTGAAGTTCGCAACTTTCGACGCTTGGCGTGTGACACGAACACGAACACGAGCTAAATGCAAAGTGTCTGGGTGATTGGATGATTGCGCGTCCTCAATGTCAGCGTAGGTCGAGAAGGTATTCCAAAATACCGAAATGAAAAGAAGGGGCAACAACTGTTCCGTTCCAAAGCAACCGGAGCTTTGTGGGTTAAGGGCTTTGAGGCAACGACTGCCGGATACGCGCCTCGACTTTTGCGCTTTCTTGCGGCGATGCGCCCTTCCAAGTTATATGGATGCACAAATTGTACTGAATGTGACGGCATCCGAAATTGAAAATGCGGCTAACAGCAGTGCCCGCCGGTGGTGGTAGTAGTCGCGGTGCTGGTCATGGTGGTCGTGGTGGTCGTGGTGGTCGTAGTGGTTTCATCATTATGCCATAAGCCGCGTTGTTGACGCGGTCGCATTGCCGGCCATCGCCTAATGCAGTCCCATTCAAAATCAAAACGTGTCCAACGCTGTTGCCGTCTCTGCTTTGGCACCTGCTTGGCCCGCACGACCCATTCGCCAAAGAACCCAAGTTCCTCCCGCCCACTACCTTACCGGCCCCCTTCCCACCCCTGTCGACCATGACCAAGTATCTGTCCTCGTCTAGTCGCTTGGATTAGCCGTGGGTCCAAAAACAATGCGAGCTTGATAACTAGCGAACGCATGACTCTTCGAATATCCGAAGACTATATACCCTAACTCCCTCGTAGAGAAACGCCAATAACGTGGTGTAGTTCTTTAATACTGGATACCCCCTATCACTCTGCGAGATCAATGCTCTGGCTCAGTTGATAAAGAATTTCAGCTAGATTGGACGATGCTTAAGGGCTATAGATTTTCAAAGACTGTACTCATTATAATAAATCAATTACATCATAATGATATAGTTAGCTGGTGCTCGGGAAATTTGAATCGCATGAAATTGAAGAGAGATCCATTACTGAAAAGATTTTCGGCATATTGCCGAGGGGTTATAGTATATTTCTCTACAGCTGCTGTTGTGCATGGTTAACATAGTCGATGAAGTATTTAATATACCCATTGCATTTTAATTACAGCGCACTCACAGCGTTCACTTWGCTGCTGCTGTTGTTGTTGTTGTTCATTAAAGGGCTTTTGAAACGTTAGATGGGATAGAGATTTCTATGCGTGGAGCTACGTGGATTTTCACATTGAACCAGGTAGCAGTATGCAGTAGAGTAGTATATAACTACTTTCTCCTACTATATATGGTTTTATAAGATAGAAGATGGAATATAGAATATAGAAATTAGCGAAGAGTAGATAGGAAACAGAAGATATAATATTGTAGATAATTGATAACAGAGAAAAGACAGAGGATAGATGATAAAATATGCAAAATATATGATAGAAGAGGTGAGAGGTAAGACAGAATATAGAACATTTAATGAATGATAAAATTCAGTCGAATATGGAACATAGTGGATACAAGATACAATATGCCAAATACAAGATTGAAGATAGATGAGGTGGGCAGAGGACGGAGAATAGAGTAAATGATAAAAGAATATAGAAAGTGGAAGATGTGGAAGATATAAGATGGAAAGAGGGATAGATTATAGAAACAAAACTACAATATAGAATATAGAGTTCCCAACTTGAAAATCTTTCTGAATTGAATCTAAATCGATTTGATCTCTATTAGTTTTGTGGCTGATCTCTGAGTATAATAATCTGATCGGGGCACCATTGATGCACATAGAAAATAAATAGATTTTACACTATCTGCTACATATTATTATTGCGATCTAAATTTAGTTCATGTCTATCGTGCTTGTAATTATGTAATTATTGTATATTTCGAAATGAAAATTCTTTTCAGTTTTGATCAAGGTTTAGATTCGTTTCTGAATAGGTAGTCGTACTCACTTCTCATTTAGCAGGCGCTGTATTTGTAATTTCTTCTCAATCTGCTCAATTGGGAACTGGGGTACTTCATATGGTGCCGAAATTTCATTACTTAGCTCATTTTCGGCCTCCGGCTTATCAGTGTCCGCTGAGTCGATCATATCGCCTGGAAAACACAACAAATTGACAGTTAATTGATGCTTTATAAATGTTTATAGCTCTAGATTATATTATAATATATATTGATGTTGTCTATATAGTCAACCCACAAATTGTTTCTACTGGCTCAAATTCAGCTTTGATGCCATTCCTATTATTATTGGTGAAGCTCTTGGACTCCCTGACGTTGGAGCCAAAGAGTTGTGCATCCACTTTCATACGATGCGCACTGTCCATCCGATTGAAGTTCATACCGAATCAGGGAACAAGAGATATATAGAGAGAGAGGGATGAACGGGAAATGAGTTTCTTTTCGTAGTTCCCGCGACGCTTGTGGCCTGAACGAGCGCTGGCACTTTAATGACCAAGCCCCGAACACCGAGCCACTCTCGACTCTGACTCGACTCGACTCGAGTGCGACTCGAACCGACACCTGACAGCCGATACAATGCGCTTGCTGTCGCTGCTGTCGTTCTCGTTGCTGTTGTTGTTTCCTTTTTTCGAAAACAGCAAAATTCGATTCGGATGCACGATTATACAGAATTCGTATTGGAATCGACAGAAGAAGCAGCAGCAGCGGCAACAGCTCGAAAACAAATAAGAAAATAAGTTCGAAAGGCAGCTCAAATAGCTGACAGCGATAGCGAAAATGCGTTGCAATCAGCGACACCGACTCAGAGATACGCTGCAAGATCGGCAAGGCGGCTTGGAGTGTCTCTATATCTATATCTATATCTATATCTATATCTATATCTATATCTATATCTATATCTATATCTATATCTATATCTATATCTATATCTATATCTATATCTATATCTATATCTATATCTATATCTATATCTATATCTATATCTATATCTATATCTATATCTATATCTATATCTATATCCGACAAATTAGATGAGTAAGGAAAGCTACTCTTTAGTGGGCAAGTGTAGTCAGAGCTATCGTGGTCTGTTTACATGTGGGAAATGAATAGCAGTCCAGACGTGCCCAAAAACAAGCCCACGCTCTGGCAGCATCCCGCTGCTCGAGATGGGCATATAGAGAGATAGTCACTGAGCTGCTGGCATCAAGTTGAAGAGATAGTTGTCCGACAGATGAGAGATGACATGCAGCAACTTTCTTGTCTTGGCCTTTGTGGTGGGCGCAAGACATTCAACACTACACTGTATGGTAATAGCTTGCCAAGTCTCGTTCAAGCTGTGCGCGTTAAAATTTGTATTAGCATATTAGTATAGTTAGCTAGTTTAGTTTTGTACATTACTTGCCCTACAAATCGTAGTTGTCAATTAGTTAAAGAAAATAAATATTATCATTAAACATTCTTTTACATTTTAGTCTGAAATTCGTATAGAAACAATTGCCAAGAGTTTCATACAAATCAGCCTTTGACAGCATGCAATCTGTATGTGATCAGATATGCCGTTGCAGTCAAGCGACTGCTGCAGCTAAAAGCTAGTGCGCTGTGAAGTTTCATAGCGATGAGAAATTGACAGAGATGCCAAGTGGCTTATTTTAGATTTTGGATATATGATGGAGAATATGTGCATATACACATATGTATGAATATATATCTACATGCATAATTATAGAATTTCTATATTTAGCCCCAGTGGCCCAATTTGCTTGTAGTGCAGTGTTGAATCAAACAGGTGCCGCTGCCTCAAGTGTATGTGTGTGTGTGTGTGGGCGCGTGCAAACAACAGTTGGCTATGGACCAGACCGAATGGCTGGAGAGGCTGCCGGTCTGCCGAGCGGCGGCGGAGGAGACTGTGCCTGAGATTGTGGATCACACTTACAATTGCATTTCGTTGAGATCGGCATGCTGCGTTGGCTGTTTGTTGCGCTGCTTCGAGCTTTGGCATTTGGTAGCTTGTTGCGCTGCTGCACTGACGGCACAACGTCCTTGCTGGAACCGGTGAGTACGTCATCAAATGAATCGTTATCCTGGTTATTGCGATCGGCACCATCATTGTTGCCGATAATGCCGCGATAGGCCATCTTCTATTCGAAGCAGACGCGTGTGCCACAGGGCACGCAATGCAAGGAATGCAGCACTCTAGTGTAGTTATGCCTGCACCAGCTCGCGGCTGAGCGCGATTGGATAGAATGTGGGGCCCCTTTGGCAAAGTTGTTGTGTACCCCAAATGCTTTGGAAGCTTCTATTTCGTTACGATAATTTCGATAGATTTTCATTGATGTTGCCGCAAAACAAAAAAATATAAATATATTTTTA